AATAATAATAATAATAATAATAATAATAATAATAATAATAATAATGCCTTTATTAATGGCAGGGCTCAGGCCATATGGCCTGCTCTTCCGCCTAACAAGGCATAAGCGTTGATGACGGGCAGACGGACGGGCATCAATACATTTTTCGGGATCAAAGGCCCACAACACAATGATTCTAACTGTGCAGCGTGTACAAGGAACTTATTTACTACTTGTAGGAACAAGGTTGATCCACTTTTTCTTTTCCAGCACCCGACAGTAAGAGCTTTTCTGTTGAAAAATCGCAGCACGATTACAATACTTTCACATTCTTACGTACGTAGTTAGGCGAGAAAGTTAAAAGCAATTACGCAATGAAGAATGCCAGTAATTAAATATTTTCGGGAAATGATCATCAAGGACATTCAACGATTTTCATTCAACGACTAAACCTAATGGTGTTCCGCCATTAATGTAATAAAACAACACTTTTCCCCTCGCGTTCGCCATGGAACTTCTCACAACCCTCAGCTACGCATGCTTCCCCAGTCTGCGCGGCAGTAGAGTTTCAAAATTACTACGGTGCCCCTTAACACCTGCAACTCACGATGACGGAGCATGTGACCCGAAAGTCATGGCGGGGCGTCGGCGAGCGGACCACGAGTAAAGCGCTTTGTTTATCGTGCCAGGCGAGGGTGCATAACGTATCGTGCAATGTTACTGCTGCGTCCAGTCACTTGTTTACTGGCAACCTTCGACGTCGAGTCTCGCGAGGGATTCAAAGCCGTTCTGAGAAAGCGACGCGAGCGCCACCGGCTACACAGTGAACTAAACAATGAAAGAAAGAGCACAAAACGGAAAATAGAAAATCGAAATGGAGAAGGGAACAAAAAGTTATGTCATTAGTTCAAGAGGATACTGATACAGTGATGCAACTCCAGAGTGTCACGTGTAAGTACGGAAGAAAATTTCTAATGTTGCACCGAATACTAGGAAATGTTTAAAAAGTTATTTGATTTACTTTTGTCAAACGACAATAAAAAGTGTATGTGACGAACGAGGAAAAGTGTAATTTACGCAGGTTTCTTGAACTCTAGAATCTTCCATTCACTTTACATAAATTGATGATGAATAAATGTACCAAACAAGAGAACTATTCTAGATTGAAAACTTGATTATAACAATTGAAAACTAGAAACAGTTGTAGAGTTGTTCACAAGTTCTAAAAAATGTTTTGCGTTGGTAATTTGATAGTAAAATCTGACAAAAATTGTTTTTATAGTATTGCTAAGAAAAGAGCAATCCACACTCCCGACTACTCCTCCAATGCCTTTTTGCAGCTCCATTTTAGCCAATATAAATTCCTTTCTGAATACCTATTTCAGCAAAAGTAATGCCATTTGCTTGGCTATGTTAGGTAAAATAATTCCTGGCTTTTAAATGTTTGAAACTAAAGTAAAAAGTACGTTTGTTTGTACACGTAGTTCTAATTCATTGAGTTATTGAAGTTCTGCATTTCCGTGAAATGTTTAATTTTCTCTTTTTAAGAGGAACGCATGCGTTAATGTGAAATGAAAGCTTTGAGAAAAAAATATTTATCGCTGGCATCAATAGCATTATAAAACGCGTCACATGATTCCTTCAGCAAGTAGACTGTAGATAATTGTGTTTTGTAAGAATTTGTGCATTGAGATCACTGTAATCTAGAGTCTACCATTCGTTATTTTGCCGACATTTCGAAACGGACGGGCAGACGTTTAAAAAAACAGTTTTTCTGTACCAGGGGACCTCAAAACGTGTATTTCCGTTGAAATTTCGAAATCGATTTTCCGCATCATTACATTACATTCCCTATACTACATTTATTACTCCGTATTTACGTATGCACATGAAAAAGTAAAAATGACAATAAAAGATATAGGGATTCAGGCCACCGTTCCTGAGAAAAGTGTGTGGAGAAATAAGCGCGATGAGTATTCCAGCAAACGACTTACCGAGCGTGTCGGGGCCCTTCTGCACTTTGATGTCGAGCTCGAGCGACGACGGCAGCTGCAGGACGTCGGCGCCCCACCCCGCGACCAGCTCCTCCTCCTCCAGCTCGTCGTCCGTCAGCTCCGTGGACGGCGTCTGCGCGCTCATCAGCCGCTCCGTCGCCACCGGCACCATCAGCTGCGAAGCGCACCACCGTTACACTCCGCTCCGGCAAGCTCAGCCCAGGCCAGCCCAGGTCAGGCCAGCCTAGGTCAGTCCAGGCCAGCCCAAGCGAGGCCAGCTCAAGACAGGCCAGCCCAGTCCAGGCCAGCCCAGCGCAGTCCATTACAACCCAGCTCAGCTTAGCTTAGGCCAGCTCAGTCTAGCACAGCCTAGGCCAGCTGAACTCAGAATTGTTCAGTTCAAGCCAGACCATGCCACCTCAGTTCAGCCTTGCCCAAACCAAGTCAGACCAGATCAGCGCAGCAGAGCCCAAACCAGTATAGCACAGCTCAGCCATGGTCAGCCCCACTCAACAGAGTCCAAGCCAGCTCAGCCCAGAAGAGACGAAGTCAGTCCAGCGAAAACCAACTCGGTCCATACCAATTCAATCCAATGTAGTTCAGCCCAGCCCTGCTCAGGTCAGCTCAGCTTCGCCCTTTCTTGCCAGTATGAGCTAAACCCGGCAGAGATCAGCCCTACCCAATAAAGCTGACCTCAGCCCAGGCCAGCTCAAACCAACTCAGTCCACACCAATTCAAGCCAATTCAGTCCAGCCTGACCCTACCAAGACAACCCCGCCTCGACTATCTCGGAGCGGTGGTCTCCCCAGTTGTCTTGTACCGTTAATGTTAGAGAAGATGTTATCTGCTGAGATGAATGTTTTTAGGGGTGGTACCAGATAACTGAAAGAGTTGAGGCAGTGACACATCAAGCCACCTCAGCTACAAGCCTTCATTATTATAAAATGTTAATATCTCGATTTTGATCAAAGTGTGTCTCATCTGGTTATTAATTCAAGTCCTTTTAAAATATGGATAAGATACGCCTCAACGAAATCGAGATTTTATCATGTTCAAATTGAAGGTGTTTGCTGTGGATAGTGTAGCAGTATTTCGTACTACTCTAATTATAAAAACACCTTCTATTAGCTTTGGCAACCCATTCTCTGTAATTTTATTTCATTCGAACTGTAGAAATGTTTCGTAAATAGGTTTGTACTTGCGTAGTAAATGTGTCATGCTTTAAGATGAACTCGGGCAGCTCCAACTGTTCTAAGTTACTATCATCCGTCGCATATTCTTCCTTAAGTCACTTTCATGGCTAACACAAATCCAGAACAGAATACGATAGTTCACAAAGCGAATGTCTCTCAAAATTTTACTATGTTCAACTAACACGAAATCTGGTAATGAAGATATAACGGAGTAAGAATCTCTACTTGTTCTGATAGGATTTCAACAAATAAATAATGATTTTTTCCAGAATCCACAAATCACCCAGGCGACAAATACCACCAATTCTAAAAACAATTTTATTGACTCCTCAATTTAGTACAAACTTGCTATCAAAATTGAAGTACACTTTAAACTATCAACGAGAGAAAAGAGTACTATATTTTTTGAACAATATTATTTTCCTCAAATCGCCATTCAAACAAGTTTAAGGTATTATTAATTCGACATTTATTAAGTCAAATTGAGTAAGTTACTGTAAAAATAATCTTCCTGAGATTAAAATCAAATCAAATTTCCAGTTATTTTTCCAGTAAAATTTCCAGTTACTATATTGTACATGAAATGAAGCTGGCATGCTTCGAATCAAACTTCACTATAGTGAATATTCTTTAGTCTGATTACAAATTTCTGAAAAGAGTTTGGTCTGTACTCCATAGTACTTGATAATGTGAACATTCTATTTGACTACTCAAAGAGTTTGCTGAACGGCCTCAACCTACAGTGATCAGTGGCATATAGTGATTCATCAGTCTGCTTGGGCGTAAATATTAACTTCCGATACGAAGCGAAGTTATTGACACTTAGCGCAGTGACTCTCCATCGCCCAAACATATTACCCAACGCACGAACCCTGGTTAATGGACATCCATAGATAAATAAACTACTGTTAACGCTTACAAAAGGTCGTCCTTTAAAGATGTTCACATATTTAAGAAGAGTCGGGGTTAAAAACAGTCTTCAAAGGTAGCAGACAAAAGGGGTGGTTGGACATCCTATAAGTTTAAAATAAAATTATTAACCAAGTTCTCAAAATTTTTTTGTCATTTCTCGGACATTCATAATTCAACTGCAATTACGCATTAGGCGCAACGCATTACATATTATGCAAAATGTATTGAGCAAAAACTACTAATATTTTCAAAAAAATGAACATGAACTTAATTACAGATCTGTTTCTAATGAGCAGATTTCATTAAGGAATACATTTCTGTCATTATTGTAGTTGTAGAAAGACGTTAAACAACTTTAAATTTATGCAATTTTCAAAAAAAAAATAGAAATTGAGGCTCGTTCTATTTCTTTAAGTTATGGTCGCATAATCTGGGAACAAAGTTGAAATCAAAAATGTGGATAAATTTTTGAGAAAATTTTGAAAATGTTGAAGCTTCACGTAAAGTATCCTCTTAAATCATAATATTCATATCATTCAAAATCAAATATTCCAGGGCCTCGTGTTCGTTCAGATCAATCCGGGAAAATCAATTTTGGAGAAAATCGAGCGGACTAAGCGTTAGCTACGGACGGACGGACGGAGACGGACAGACAGACGTTTAGCTGTCAATAGATTTTTCGGTATCAAGGAGCCACAAAACATGGATTCTGACAACTCAACGTGTTATAGGAAGTAATGTACTACATATATGCACAAGATTTATTTACTTCTTCGTTACCAGGGCCTAGCAATACGAGTTTTTCTGTGGAAAAATCGTCATTTTCCCCACAGCAATAGAATACTTCCTATATGCTGCGTAATCAATACGCGACAAAGTAAAATCAGAAATGCAGACACTACAGGTTATCGAAAGAGTAGTCCGCAAATACTAGTATTTCATAGTTAATACAAAGACAACAGAACTTCGAAAATCAAGGTTTGAACTCGCTCTGGATGAGAATCGAACGAAATTAAAACAAAGTCATGGAACTACATAAATTCGTTTTAGCCAACCCCCAACAGTAGGACCACAGGCACGATCCGAATGCGAGGGGCCCGATCCTCCCAGGAGTTACAATTCCCCACAAGCAGTCGTACCTCTTGGGACTTTCAAATCTCTCCTTCGGACACAGAGGTTACAATGGTGAGTGGCGAGTGAGACATTGGTGGCAATTGCAACCGGAATGCGTGGGAACATTACCTGATAGTATATTTAGTATCGCGTTTCCAATAATGTGTCTTTTTGATGTTTCAAACGCTTATGTAGGGTTTTTCCTTAAATAAACAATGAATATTTTGTATTATATATAAAACAATAATTTATTCGTGGAATCAGTTTTAATGCAATTTTTTAATCTAAAGGAATGCAGAGGAATATAAATGTGTATTTTATCTATTTTATATCCCTCTCCTTTAAATACTTTATTTCGCGATTTCGTAGTTATATCTAGTTAAAAATAATACACAACCTTACCTCTTACAATCAAACATTAGTGTATTCAGAAACAACACAAAGAACAATGTGTCTTCTAAGACACGTTTAACACTGATTAAGAGTTTAACAAGAAATTGAAGTTCGTTGGGCAAGCAATTGTGGTTGTTGGCCAAGCAATAATTTTGATAAAAGTTCATCAGCAGGGGGCGGATTTTAATGACATAAAACATTGCCAAAAATGAGCAATAAAATTATCTTTAAATGCTTTTAAAATGCCCTAAAAAAAACATTTGATAAAATAATAATGAAGAATTGATAAAACCACTTCTGATGAACAACTAGCTGTTGGATATGTTACTGATGTAATCGAGGCTTCTACCTATTGTTCAAAAGTACTCAGCTTGCAAACTTTTGGTTTGGACTGTACTTTACAAGAAAATCGCTGCCTCTGTTTATTGCGAAATCGAACTAAGAACGGAGCCAATATGCGTCACAGGAACATTAGATTACGTAGTACGCACAACGGCCGACGTTACAACGTTTAAGCGTAGAAATCGAAAAGGCTATTCAGGAATTCTGAGGTGAATATATGTTGCTCCTCGTAAATATTGTTTGATGAAAGTTCTATTAAAATTGGTGATTTCAGCAAAAAATGCACTAAAAAGTACGTATAAAGGTAAAAATTACGTATAAAGGAAAAAATGACTAATTAGTCAAAATAGATGAAAAATGCAAAAAATGACATAAAAATGGACATTTCGTCATAACAAAAAATGAATTTCTATACTAAACGGCATTCTTCTAAAGTGAAAAGAAAGAAATTACATTTCATTAAAATGAGCTCGTTAGTCATCAGGCCCGAAAAGAATGCTTACGGGGACGTGTTTCTTTTTTCAATTTCTTCTATACACTCGCAACATTTCAAACAGTGCAATATTTATGCCGTTCTTCATCAATTTTAACAACCCTAAATATCTCATTTAACTTTGAATATTTCATCCGCTTGTTAGCCATGTTTGGCAAAGTACATGTGGCTTCCAACTAATGAATCAATTATAACTTGCTTCCCAACACATATTCTAACTAGTAATGTACCATCAATACAATCATGTTTAAGTTTGCTCCAATTATACGTTGAAACACAGTTGAATGTATTAACTATGGACATCATATATACGTTATAAGTTAAATATCCAAATATTTAATTCAATTTTATAAAGGATCTTTACGCCAAGCGCAACTCATAATTGATGTGATACAATTTTTAGCAACTCATTTTCACAGGGCACATTTATAATTAATCTACAAACTTCTTTTGTTTTTTCTATAATGACAAAAAAATTAAAAACAAGATTTTAGTTTACAAAATTTGCATATATACGATACGAAATTATTTCTAATTTTTGACCTAAAAATCTAAACTAACATTAAGATGATTGTGAAAAATACATATTCTCTTACATGTGATCCTTCCAGAAAATGTTTAATGAGACAGAAAATGATTACAATTACGATTTTTTCTGAAATGAATTAATTTAATACTCAAGACGACACATATTTTCTTACATATTTGGTACAAGCAATTCTGCTTTTATTTTCTAATATATTTTTTTTTCATTCCTAAGATCCTCAATAACTTACGCAGCCGCAATCTGGGGAGATACCGCTTCTTCCGTTATGAAAGCCTTCCAAACCTTCCAAAATAAAATACTTCGTACCATTACCAATGCCCCGTGGTATATAACCAAAATACAACTACATAGAGAACTAGATAGAACCAATTACAAATTAAATTTTCTTACTGTCATCCAAATTCTTTTCTAACGTTCAAACTACCCCTTGCAACAGCCACTTTAATCTTGGGAAAACCAGCGATGCTCCTACAAGAATTAAATCCCGTCTCCCAAAAGATCCGTTCCATCCCCCATAAGTTAGAGACATATTTGTGTTACTTTTCTCTATATATCTTGTTTACGTTCTTGTTACTTTCAATTTCACAAAATTAACAAAAATCATCATAGAGGTGGGGTGGGGATGTTCTCGTTCCGAAATAGGGGTATGATAGTGCGACAATTTACAATTACTTGTAACGTCGGGACAGTAATGATTTTCATTATTTAGCTAATACTTGACTGTAAAGTGGTAATTCCATAGATCTGGTAAAATAAATTTAAAAAATAAAAAATAAAATTTTATTTTTTAGTGAAACGAAAATATGTAAAACGGCATCAGAAGGAACATTACGTCAAAAGTCTACTTTAAAAGCATTACAGAAATAATTATATATATCTGTACAAAATAGTATAGGTCTTAGTCATATATTTCACACTGATTATATCTAAAAATTATTTGAAAGGAAAACAAGACTATCGCAAATATATCTTAAACTTTGTACTTAAGAGGATAGGAGGGACGTGTTGTAATGGTACACCTAATACATGTATAAAAAGGTAATGAATAACAGGTTATAAATGCTTTCCGGAAGGGAATTTATGTTCAAAAGACATTTCTAAAAATTCTATTAGTTATAAAATATTAGTTAATAAACGAATATAAAATAAAACAAAAAATATCAAGAAATAAAATGTTTTCAGTTTAACTTTCAGCACTCATGAATGAAAACGAGTGCTTACCATGACTTTTTATTAATTGCAAAGTCACCCTACATGTACGACACCCTACATGTACGACAAAAAAAGCGATTGCAATATAAGCCAATGGTGTACTGCAAAGAGAAAAACAACTCTGGGGTGACGTAAATCAACGTGGCTGCCGCCTGGCAAATTCCACGAGAACGTACTCGTAAGTTTCGATGAATTCGTTCTAAAAAACATAATCGTGCGCATGCCACTGAAAATGCCGGCCGGCCTCGGCCTCGAAGCATTCACTCGAAGGCCAAAGCCCCTCTTGGTGCTCACCTGGAGGAGGTCTCCGCTGCGGTCGTCGTCCGTGCTGCGCTCCAGCTCTTCCTCGGAGGCGGGCTGCGGCGTGGGCGGCGCCAGCGCCACCTGCAACACACGCACAGCCTCCGTCAACCACGCGCCTCTCTCTTCACAAGCAACTCGCAAAACACTCGCCGCGGCACTGCCCAGGGTTTCGTCACATCCATTTCTTGTAAAAGAGGAAAAGGATCAATTTTGGACAAATCAGGACTATTATTCTTAATGTTTTAGATTCAAAGTTTAATAAAATACTATATCATTTTCTTTTACAGAACATTGCTACTGGATTAAACATTTTTATCATACTGCACTGCTACTGGCATCTAGTGAATTCATTAGGTACAAATTCTGTTGCAACGTCACTGGCCTTTGGCGGAATGTATTAGGAACCAATTCGATCTTAGCGACGGGCGAAAAATAATGATTTTGGTGCATCTACCAACATATCATTTAAATTATTTATTTTCCTCACTTGTGATGTACTAATCTTTACCAAAGTTTGCAAGGACACTGCGACAATTCTGAAGACATGCCATTCGAAATTTCGTATCTATTCATACACTACATGTTCTGGTATCCATGTAGGTCACACGTTGAATCCACTTACATTAGTGTAGATTTCACTAGTGGTTTGAAACTTAACGATAAGTTCGCGAGTCACGTAAGGGCGAGCGGACTTACCTGAGAAGTCTCAAACCATGAATGGAATTCGGTAAGACTATTTCACAAGTAAAAGTCAGAAATCGACGAAATAGTATGCATATAATATTAAAAATAGCGAATAATATTTGTTGGTGTTTTTTTTCAAAGTCTTTTTTTATTACAGCAGTTTCCGTCATGGAAGGAATATTCATTTATTTTCTAAAACAATTGAACGTCATCTGCGATAAGGCGATACCGTAAAGAAGACATGCAAAATTTTCGATTTTAGCGCCCCGTGATTGGTTTAAAACCATCTTGTTATAAAAAGCAATCGGTTAGATTGAAACTAATAACTCACGAGAAGAATAACGCCCGTAAGTTGGAGATTAACAGTTGTGTGTGACGTAAACACGCACCTCTCGTTTCCATAGCAGCTCCCAATCAGAGAGTGAAAACGTATCGAGTCTGGTCGCTGAGTTGCCACTGACGAACTGGAAACATATGAGCAACGTGCAGCGAATCTTTCCTTCCGCCGCCCGCGTTTCTGCCTTGCTGGGCGCTCAGTTTGCGTTTTACTTGCACATTCATTTTAACTCAAGTTGAAAGTCTTATGAATGAGCCAGTAACCATTACAACAGCAGCAGAATGACGAAATGTCATTGAGAATTCCCAAGAACATATGATTATTTTCTTAAAAGTCGAATGAAAGCTCATTATTAATTTAAAGTTCAAGTAGCACGAGTGGTACTTCCCACTGCCATATAAATTAGTGTAAATAAGTGGTAAAATGTAACCGGTAATGGTATAATGTATACAAAACGTACATCATAATAAAATATTATATACGTATGAAAACACAAGAACGTAACTTTTGGTACAGACATTCGCATTAAGACCACGCAGTGATAAAGTCCTCCTCTCATGACAATGCAAGTCATATCCAGATAGTAGTATATGTTTTCAAACCTACTTTCGGAATTTTTGTCATACTAAAACTGTCATATTTTGGTGCAAGCAAAAATGAACTATTAACACTGCATCTCTGAATATGGCGGTGGTTTGCGCGCGGTGACGGTTAGCGTATACGTACTGTTATACCCAAGTTCGCGGGTTCAAATCCGCAAACGTGGATTTTTAAGGGCAAAAAAAATTTTCGTACGCCCTCCTTCGGAGAGGAAGTAAAGCCGGCTGGCCCATGTTAGTAAATTTACTTCCATGTAAAAGATCCTCAAGCGTAAATGTCGCCGCTGAGCTAAATTCAAATCGCCTGTTTCTCTCCCAAGAAATATCTCCTTTCTCTGCCAGTTGGTCAAAGGAGCGCAGCGAAATTTGCGTGGTCAGACGGAAGAGCAGGCCTCATGGCCTGAGTCTCGCCACGTAAAATAAGGCAATAATTCAATTCAATATCTACTAGTTCGTGAAGCTCGCTATTTCGGTTGCTATTGACGTAATGACCAAAATGCGAGCGAGTTAAAACGCATGTATAATTGATCCGAAGTGTTTGTGTTCAAATAATTTAGATGTAGTGCTTATTTTAAAACATAATTTAAATTAAATAGCCCAATTACATTAGGAAGCCGTTTACGTAACTGGAATGCAGGGAACGTAATTCATTTCTAAACGATATCGACGTTTGCTTGTATTGAATGTAGTCCAATTTTAGTGATACACCCTTTATTTATTATCATTGGATTGAATGCTTTCATAAAACAGTGCGCTAAACGGCGAAGCAATTTTAGTGAAAGAAACATTTTAAATTTACTTTCTAACGATCTTAAAACTATTGTAGATATCAACAACTTATAGAGGAGTTGCATAATCAATAAATGTTTACTTCTTCACAATGAGATTATCTGTTTTCTCAGAACTTTTTTCTTACGTATGTTTATATGATTGTCACAAATTTAATTTTTGAATGATTTCCTTTCTAAAGGGTCTGGACATGTTCAGAAACATGTGACTTGGCATGAAGTGGGAGGGACTGAATTGGAAGACTTGAAGGGAAAGATGATTGTCCGAGCGATGTTTTCAGGGACATGATCGATTATGGTCTTTAGTCCGGTAAGTGTAGTGAATGTCAGTATCCCGGGAGGTGATGCTATTCTTCCCCGCTGGGTTCGGCTTTCGGGGCATTTACTTTCAGATATTTCCCCAGCCTGGACAACCTCTAAGCTCTCGACTGGTCTCCTGAAATGTGTGATATAGGTAAAAGACGGAAATATCACACGGGGTCCGTAGCCCGTTTGTTTAGGCACTGCTCCGACATTCGCCTGGTGTTGATCACGAAAACCACGGGAAACAACCTATCAGTGTAGCCGGTAGCTAGAATTCTCTTCTAGGCAGCGGATGAAATCGACCCATCTAGTGTCAGCTAGTGTCGAAAATCGCCCACCGTGGGGTGTTGAACCCTGATCGCAGCAGAGACTACGGAAATACTAGCTCTGAAGAAAGTCAGCCGATGTAAACGGCAAGAAAAAGAAAGCGGAAGGGACAGAGGGCGGGGGCGGGGGGGGGGCGGATGGCAGGAGCGGAACGCGGCCCCCGTCGCGCGAGAGGCTTCTTCGAGGCCGCAGAGCTTGTCAATGGGCGCAGCCCTCCAACTGCGCCCCCTCCCCGACTCACGCGCCCCGACAGCCAACGCACGGTCGAAAACGAGGCCGGAACATCACGCTTGTTTGCATTTAAATTTATTTAGTAAAAAAAAAAAAACAGTAAAAGTTTTATCTGACGTATGGGGCAGAATATCATCTGCGCACGTTTTCTTGAGTTCCAGAATCACTTCCCATCATTTTGACTATAAATAGTTGAAGGATGAGTAAAAGTTTAACATAAATAAATAAAAATAAATTTTAAAAATCGCAAGATCAGCAATATTTGAAAAAGTCATTTTCGTTTCTGAGTTACAGAAAATTTATTTGCATCGGTATACGAATTGCAAGTATCATTTTACTGCATTGCTTACGAAGTAGCAACTCGCTCTTACCTCTACTCTTACTATTACAAGCAAAAGGAGATTTCAAAACGCCCGCATAGTGAAGCTGCATTTACGTCCAGAAGCAAAACAAGGGGCCATCTCAGCATTTGCTCAATGCATCAGGGAAACTGGACAAAAACCTGATCGAGATGGGGGTCATTGATCCCGAAGCAGAAGTACATTATTTGTTCCAAGCATGTTAAGTGTTTTTTAAACAAGATTATACAATACAAATGTAAACCAATTTATTTCATTTCATTGTTTGTTAAAATAAACATTATTTTCTTTTTGATGACTAGTATAGTCCCTAATTGTATAGAAACAGTTATGCAGCATAAAATATTTTACATTTAACTTAATTTTGTGTATCGACTCAATTGTTTAATGCCATCTAGCAGTGCCTTTTAAATAAAGTACATGTATTGTATGTGGATTTCTCGTAGTGACCTGTTCGTACTGATACTTGATGAACGTGATTTCTACGTGTGTTGTAATTATAAATATCAGAATTGCATGAAATATGGTCCCACCGTTTTTTTAGTGAGTCCGTTTTGACAAATATTACGGTTTTCTTAATAAGATTTTCTACATCTTTCGAACCCCCATCTTTTCCTCCATCGACTTCATTTCTACTATTATTATGTACGCCTAGGCCGCATGCAATAATGTTTTATGCGATTCTTTTCAATTGCAATCATATTTAAACACAATTTAGGAATTTAACTTGATCCTTTTTTAAAATGTTAAATCATAAAGAACTAATTGACATAGTTCTGATCATTTGTAACAAGTCGAAAACATACAATATTTCAATATGTGTGATTAATAAGCCTTCTTTGCAAAGGAGACTGCATTTTATATCGAAATTCCCTATTATTTCTATTCGTATTCACTAAGCGCATATGACCTAATATTAGTCGTTTTATTCCCCCTCGTGAATCCAAACGACCCAACTCCCGCGTATATTGCTTCTTGATAACCGCGTCCTCTGTGCTCCATGCCGCTGGTTAGGATAGCGGCGCTCGCTCCTCTGCCGCGCGAGGCAGTGAAGATGAAGAGGTCCGCCGAGCCGCCCCGCCCCCCGCCATCTCATCCTCAGCGACCTCTCCATTGACCGCGTCGCTCGAGGCGGAGCAGAAGCTATGGCCCCTCGGCCTCTCCCCCTCCCTCCCAGCCCCTTCGCGCTGTCTCGCCGCGGTGCGCGCCTCCCGCGCCGAAGCTGGAGAGCGCCGGCCGCTCCGTCTCGCTGACAGGGACATGCGACACCTCAGAGAGCGGACCCTTCCGTGGCCGGAGTCAGGAACCACTCGGCTGTTCGGGAGACGCCCAGGCGCAGGTGCCAACGTTTTGGCCACCGCGAGGAAAGTCGCAGAAAGGCGGGCGAAACGTTGATGTCAGTCTCCCGGACGCCAAGTAGGTACGCGACACCTTTTCCTCCCCTCACTGCACC